AACAACAGTTGAATCCCGAATTTTCCAAATTTCGTCTGTTTCGGTATAGGCACCAAATTTTTTTCAGCCTTTGAATCCGAGAACCATGCCTAGCACCAGTATGTCCGGCAGTATGTGTAGTGTAGGACGACCGGCCGGTTTCCTTGCCAGCTGAGTGCATGCAGCCGCTGACAAACACTGGACTTTGAAGCTAGCTGGCCTGGCCAACTCTTTGTATTGCCCGAGGAGGAGTATTTATCAACGGTTCACATGCACTTCCAAGGTTCCAAATAAGCCGAAGCAGCTGGCCTGCCTGTAGCCTCCCCGAACGGGGAAGTCTACTCTCTACTGTCGCGAGAAAGGTCAGAATACTCTCTCTTTGGCATTCTCACTTACTCTACCCCGTGTGCATACGTAGGAGAGTGGCTACTGGCTACGTAGTTTGCATTGCCCTGCGCAACCCAAATTAAAGGCAGAATGATGGACAAATCACAGCACCCGCTGCTAGAACTACTACTGCTCCGTACTCCGTACTCGGGCCTTGTTTAGATACCCTCAAAATTCCAAGTTTTTTCACTCTCTCTTCATCACATCAATTTTTAGTCATTCGCATGGAGCATTAAATGTAGGTAAAAAATAACTAATTACACAGTTTAGTTGGAAATCACGAGATAAATCTTTTGAGCTTAGTTGATCTACAATTAGACAATATTTACCAAATAAGACGAAAGTGCTACTTGAAATTTTTTTCAATCTAAACCAGGCCTGGACTAGAAGCTAAAGCTAGTGCAGAACGTCCGAATTGAACGTACTCCTCCTATAAATATAAATAAACGCATGCAGCAGGAAGCGTACGTACAAGGTCATTGAAGACTGAACCCGGCCTGCACTGCAGCCACAGCCACGCACAGCGTCACAGCGACACCCGGGGCCCTCACCCATGCTGCGCGGGCCCTGCCAGCGTCAGCCGTCAGTACAGTACAGGTCGACCACCCCCCACAACAGCAGCCACGCGTGGTGCAGCGCAGGTCGTCGTCAATGAAGGGAAGCTAGCGGCTAGCGCCCGATCGATCGCATGCAGTTGCAGACTTGCAGTGGGAAGCCAAGCCACGATGAGCACCAGGCGCCGGTCAGCCATGGCACATGGACGCAATGTCAAACTCGAATTTACGCCGGGCAGTCAGTCGCCCATGCCCTGCGGCAGTCCCCCACAGCTTCCACTTCCATGGACCTGGACCCTGATGGTCACCGGCCTCGCTGCGCGCTCCAGTGCCCGCAGTAGTAGTAGGAGTAGCTTCTACTGCTGTGCTGCACTGCGTGCGAACGTAGGCCGAGGAGGAGCAACTGTAGCTAGCTAGCTAGCTCTCCATCCATCGGAAGCCCATTCCCCGCCTGTTGCTGCATGCCTTGGATACCTAGTTACCTACTACTCCTTGCTCGCTCATCCATCAGTCATCACACACACCGTGGCGCGCCCTGTTCAATTCATTCCTTCTTTAGCTCGCTCATCCCTTCAAGTCAAGGCCTCGCATCCATCAGTCATCACACACACCGCGGCGCGCCCTGTTCAATTCATTCCTTCTCTAGCTCGCTCGCCTTACGGCTATAAATACAGTACAGGCCGGCTCACACGTCCATAAAATGTCCGTCCATCTTGGTTCACTACTACCACACGGCAGCTGGCTGGCTACTAGGCTTTCCCACCCTCTGACCATAGCTCTCTCTCGCTTGTTGTGATCCCCAGCCTCTCCGATCCTTCTCTCATTCTGTCGTCTGCCCCTGTCACCCCCGTGCGCTGCGGACCCAAGCAAGCAAATGGAGGTAAGTGAAGAACAGTGTATGTGTGAAAGCAATCGTTGTTCGACCATGAAAAGTTGATTGATTGCTGCTCTAGTTACCTCTATCTAATGATTTGATTGACGATGATGTATATCATGCATGCACCAATCCGAACATATGATGCTTCGTTCCTTCGCAATCCTCCTTACTATATATATGAACGCCATCGCCGGCGTGCGTGTGCAGCAGAAGGCGAGGAGGCGGCGCGTGCCGGCATTCGGGGAGTGGAACTACAGCTACTACGGCAGCGCCGAGCTCGCCACGCCCGCGGCGGCGGTCCCCTTCGAGAGGTACGCGGCGGAGCTGGAGGCCCGCAGCGACGTGTGGTTCAAGTACTCGCCGCCGTCGCGGAAGCCACCGCCGGTCAGCAGGAAGGTCCGGAGGCCGGCGGAGAAGTCTTACTGCGGCGGCGGCAAGCGCCCCCGTGCTGCGACGCCTGCGAGGGCGTCCGACGGCGTGGTCCCGTCGTCTGTGCCGCGCACGCCGGCAAAGAGCACCGGCGCTGCCAGGGCGGCGCGTGTGGTGCAGCGCGTCGACGCCGACCTCTACCAGGTGCCCCCGCCGGAGTTCGTCCACGACGATGACCTGAGACCAAGGGTATGTAGGTCCGCAAATACTGTAGCACTCGTCTTAACCGGTAATGTAATTATGATTTGTGTCGATTGATGTCACATCTCGCATGCATGCAGTGGAAGCAGCAGCGTAAGAAGGCGTCGAGGAGCCTCTGGATGGGTTGCTTCGGGTTCAGCTGCAGGCCGGCTGAATAATTATTTTCAGTATTTGTTTTAATTAATTCTACGTATGTATCTACTAGTGAATTCTAGTACTCCTTTCAGATTGTGCAATATTTTTGCTTTTTTTTATTTCTTGGATGAAGTATTGTACATTGTGGTGTGGATCGAAAGAAAATCTATGCATGGTGCCGTATTCACTATTCAGACTGCTTGACACCGCCCAATCATCTGACACGCATCCCAAAACAATTCGAACGCACTTTTGCCGCTTCTCTCCTTGCGTGCCTCCGTGCTTCAGGTTCAGAGCCGGATGCGGCTACATGAAAATTAGCCCTCGTCGTCTGCGTCCTCCGCATCGTACTTGGAGTCATCGAGTCATCGGCCGTGTCCATGGCGTCGCTGGCCTCCCCTTGGCAGCAGCGACAGATCGATGGGCGTGATCAGACGTGTATCACCGTCGCCGTCAATCTCGGTAACAGCCAGCAGAGTCGATGGAAAGGTGAGGATGGTCGTTGGAGGCCCTCCCTTTCAGTCCACAGTCTAGTTGAGCAGCAACGATGGGCGATGGAGATAACGTTGGATGGCTTCAGTGCTTATTGCGGACTCTAATTGGCTCAATGAGAGCGCTCTGAGGGCAACTCCAGCCAAGCTCTCTCGGACTCGTATCCTTCTTTTAGGTCTCGGGACATAAAAACACAGCTCTAATCGAAATCTCATCCGCCCCCAAATGGATGAGGGGCTCTCGTTCCTCTCTCTCAAACCCTTAGATGTAGGAGTCCTTCATCCTCTCCCTACTTCTTCCTCTTTTCTTACATAGATTACAAGCGGGGGCCAATAAGCGAGGCACATGTCAATATATATAGTGTAAAGTAGGAAAGTTTTAGAAGATTGGCTGAAGTATGCCAATAAGTGAAAGCTTGAATGGCCTTATTCGCTTCGCTGAAAAATAAGCTGAAATACTGTTCCGACTGATTTGTTGTGAGTGAAAAGCACTGCTCTGGCTGAAAAGACAAACCAAAAAGTACGGATTATAAACGAACAGGGCCAATATGGATGAGGGACTCTCATTTCAGGGGACAGGGGGCCAAAATTTGAGAGATGGGTTGGAGTTGCCCTAACTGAGGTACCGTTTAGTTCCACTCCAAAATGCTAAATTTTTTAAGATTCTCCGTCACATCGAATCTTTGGACGCATGCATGAAGTATTAAATATAAATAAAAAATAAAACTAATTACACAGTTTAGACGAAATCCACTAGACGAATCTTTTAAGCATAATTAGACTATGATTGGACATTAATTGCCAAATAACAACGAAAACAGCTACAGTGTCATTTTGCCAAATTTTTCGACATCTAGACGGGGCCTGACTCGGAAGCATGCAAGAGCATATATGCCTGCGGCTGGTGGGGAAGCATGCCACGCATAGAGTCAATATTAGGGCACTTATAAGTTACTCGCACGCTCACAAAAGAACGTAACTATAAAATTTGGGCAAGTTAAATTAACTTAACGTTGACTAGATTTATAGTGTATAGTAATAATATTTATGTTTTTAATTTGATTTGCTATGTTAAGGGCATATATATATTAGATGGGGTGCTCATTATGCATGAGACAATTCATGAGATGAGAAAAAGGAAACTCAAAGAGGTGATCTTTAAATTAAATTGATTTTAAAAAAGCATATGACAGTGTTAGCTGGAACTTTCTGGGAGAAGTGATGAAAAGGAAAGGCTTTGCAGTTTCCTTGGAAACTCAAAGGGGTGATCTTTAAAATTGTTTCTATGATTGCAATAATGAAACAATTAAACATCGCTTTTTTATTGCTGCCATGCGAAAACATCCGAACATTGTCCATATAGCTACTAAGTGAACCCCTTCTAGATCCACTACCCACGTGCTTGGAAGTTGGCTAACGGGCATCGGGAGGGTGCAAAGAAATTTGACTTTTGTGAAGGTTATTGCTATTATTTGGGCAATCGTTGTTCCACCATGAAAAGTTGCAGCCCGTTCGTTTCGTCGTAAACGATCGTGGATTATTTACGGCTGGCTAGTTTGGTGTGAAAGAAAAATACTGTTCCAACTTATAATCCACGATCGTATACAAGCAAGCGAACATACGTTTGATTGATTGTATTGATGCTCTAGTTACCTCTATCTAATGATTTGATTGACGAGGCTAGCTATCATGCATGCACCAATCTCAATGCTTCGTTCCTTCGCAATACTGAGTGTTTTTCTCTAAAAAAAAATAGCATAAGCATCAGTATAATTCTAATTTCAGCGAAACGAACACGGCTGAACAGAATCGCGGTCGTTCATATGCAGAAGGCGAGGCGGTGGCGCGTGCCAGCATTGGGAGAGTCACTGGCGGAGCTACATTAACTGGCTATTAAAATGGTGATTAAGATAAATAAATATGCACTTAAGTAAGAAATTTGTGCTAATGGCCTCCTCTTTTTTCCTTCAAGCTCCGCCACCGCGGCACTGCGGAGAGTGGAACTACAACTACTACGGCAGCACCGAGCTCGCCACGCCCGCGGCGGCGGCGGAGCTGGAGGCCTGCAGCGACGTGTGGTTCAAGTACTCGCCGCCCCCGCGGAAGCAGCCACCGCCGCTCAGTAGGAAGGTCCGGAGGCCGGCGGACAAGTCTAACGGCGGCGGCAAGCGCCCCCGTGCTGCGAGGCCTGCGAGGAGGTGCGACGGCGTGGTCCCGTCGTCTGTGCCGCGCACACCGGCAAAGAGCACCGGCACGGCTAAGGTGGCGCGTGTGGTGCAGCGCGTCGACGCCGACCTGTACCAGGTGCCCCCGCCGGACTTCGTCCACGACGACGACCTGAGGCCAAGGGTAGTATGTCCGCAGATATTGTAGCACTTGTCTTAACCGGTAATGTAATTATGATCTGTCGATTGATGTCACATCTCGCTTGCATGCAGTGGAAGCAGCAGCGTAAGAAGACGTCGAGCAGCCTGTGGGGCGAGTTTAGTTCGGCAAAGTTTACACATGTATGGTGCATGATTCTCCAATGTAGTATTTCGTTTGTATTTGTGAATTATTGTCTAAACATTGACTAATTAGGTTCAAAAGATTCGTCTCGTAAAGTTAAAGCAAACTGTGCAATTAGTTTTTAATTTCGTCTACATTTAGTACTCCATGCATGTACCGTAAGTTTGATATGACGGGAAATCTTCTTTTTGCATAGTGCACTTTTGGAGAACTAAACAAGAGCCTGGATGAGTTGCTTTGGGTTCACACCCGTTCGGCTCGATGGAAAACGGCTGATGCTAATATTGATTTGATTTGTTGTGAGAGAAAAACACTATTATTTCGTTAAAACGATACGGCTGATTAGTTCAAGCAAATGAGGTCTCAGTTGCGTTCTGGCCTAAATAATCATTTTCTGTATTTGTTTTTATTCTATGTATCTATCTACTAGTTGAATCCTTCTCCTTTCAGATTGTGCAAAATTTTTGGTATTTTTTATTTCTAGAGTATTGTACAGTGTGGATCGAAAGAAAATCTATGCATGGTGCCGTATTCAGACTGCTCGAGCTTGACACCGCCCAATCATCTGACACGCATCTCAAAACAATTCGAACGCGCTTTTGCCCGCCCTCTCCTTGCGTGCCTCCGTGCTTCAGGCTCTTCAGAGCCGGATGCGGCTACATGAAAATTGGATCGACCCCGCCCTTCCTCGTCTGCCTCTCCTGCGCATCGTACTTGGAGTCATCGGCAGTGTCCATGCCGTCACTGGCCTGGCCTGGCAGCAGCGACAGATCGACGGACGTGATCAGGTTGGGCATCAGATTCAGACGTGTATCACCGTCGTCGCCGTTAATCTCGGTAACAGGTGGCGGAGTCGATGGAGAGGTGAAGTTGGTCGTTGGAGGCTGTCCCTTGCAGTCCACAGTCTAGTTGAGCAGCAATGGCGGGCGATGGAGATAACGTTGGATGGCTTCAGCAGTGGCGGAGCCACGAAAAATTTACAGCTGGGGCGACCTCTAATAAGAAAACGAACCAAAAGACTTATGGACCAAATCACACCGAATTTACATGACCGATCGCACAAATTATGGACAAAATGCTGCAATCACATGAAAAATTGGATAAGCCACACGAGAGGTTACCTCAAATTTGAAGAATACATGAACCTATAAATTGTATGAAGATCAATTAGCGTCGCTTCTTCTCTCCTTACTCATTCGGTTCACAAAAGAACGTGACTTTAACATTTATACGAGTTAAATTAACTTAACTTTGATTAGATTCATAGTGAATAGTATTAATATTTATGTCTTTAATTTGATTTATTTACTATGAAAAATATTTCATGACTAGTTTAGTGATACTTGTTTTGTATCATAAATGTTAGTAACATTTTGTATAACTTTAATTAAATTTTAAATCGTTTGATACCTCAAAAGTGAGAATTACATCTTTTTGTGGATGGATGGACTACAACTCACCAAGTCATTCTAGAGTATTTATTGATGCTAAATCTGATCACACACTAGAAAGGGTTTGATTGCCTGAGCAGCACATTGCCAAGATAAACAGTGGAGATATATCTAAATGGAGATATATCTAAATGGCTAGGCCGACTAGCATGTCGATGAGGCCGATTCGACGCCGGTTTTTCATCCAAAGGCCCATGAACGTCTCTCGTGAAGATCCGTTAAGGAGACACAAAATAAGGATACCCTAGGATCAACGATTGGGGTATCATGCAAATTGAGCGGTCCCATCATTGAAAATCCATTATGTAGTAGTGTAGAATACTGGCAAATCTCTTCCAGAGATGTGCTGGACAGTAAGGGAATTTAAAAAGCTTGAGGTACCAGACAAAAAGTATGATAGATGGTTTTTTGACGATTCAAAACACTTGAGGAATATACAAAGCGAAAGCAGCAAGCAGTGCGACGAGCTAGTCAACCAAGTTCGTGCGAACAACACTTTGCACCCCCGAGGGTTCAATTCTTATGTGGTTGCTAGTCCGGGGGAGGATCTAGTGCCATGTCAACCTCTACCGGAAGAAGGTTGTGTCTGATACAACATCTTTGTTTTCATTGCTGCCATGCGAAAACATTTGGGACATTGTCCATATAGCTACTAGGTTAAACCCTTCTAGATCCACTACCCACGTGCTTGAAAGTTGACTAACGGGCATCGGGAGGGTGCAAAGAAATTTGATTTTGTGGAGGTTAATGCTATTATTTGGGTAATTTGGTGCACTCGTAATGACATTATTTTTGAGAAAATACCAAATAGTTCTTTTGTTTCAAATTATAAGACATTTTGACATTTCTAGATGCATTAATTTTACTACGTTTCTAAACATATTTTTATTTAAGTGCATAGCAAAAGCTATGTTTCTAACAGGGGCAGAGCTACAGGGTACGCTAGATATGCACCGACATACCTATTTGAAAAAGAACAAAAAACAAAAAAACACTTTTTTTAGCAAAAAAAAAACACTTACCTTTTTGTGAAGCCTGGAGAAGTGAAAATGGACGTAACAGGCCAGCAGCCCAGCTTTGCCGAGACGGGCTTTGCAGCTTCGCTGCTTTTTCCAGGCCCACGCAGTCAAATCGACGGGAGATCGAGAACTCCTGGTCCTGCTACCCTGACGCCTTGGCAGGTCTTGGCGGCTGACGCGGTAGCACTAACACCTTGGCTCCCTCGTCCATTCATCTACCGCAATTTCGGAGCTATGGAGTATGGACTGCCGGAGTCTTGCCGGCCCGCCGTCTCGATTCTTCGATCCTCTAGACGCCCAAGCTGCAAGTGCGCGACTATTGTGATCGAGAGATTGAGGATCCGTCGTAGCTGCCTCTTGGCTGCACGTGCACGACTAAGGCACAGAGCCTAATTATGTTAACCAACAACGTGAGATGATATAATTGAGAAATTAGTGTCGCTGAGGTCAGTTTCAGTGAAAGTTTCATCGGAGTTTCATTGATATTTAATAAGCTGTCATATAAGCGCTTTTGATATTTTGGTCCCGTTCGGCTTATCCAAAAACCGGCTCGTTCGGCTTATTTTTTCAGCCGGAACAATATTTTTCTTTCACAACAATTCAGCCAGAACAGTGTTTTCAGCCAAGTTTCAGCAAGCCAAACGGAGCCATTTGGCAACGTTTTTAATAAGAGAGAGAAGAAATGGGTTTCATAGGGATGAAACTCTCTTGGCACAATTACCGACTCTATGAGTCATGAAATTAAATGTCTATGAAACCATAGAATAAAACTCTCCATTGAAAATGTGTGTTTCATCTATATTTCATTTCACTTTAGATAACATAGCAGTCTTAGAAACAACGCCACTAGACTGGCCTTAGAAAGCGTCAACTAAAATAGCCGCAAACATCTCCAAGAGACTCTTTATATCATTCTTAATTTACAGGAATAGAAATTCTGGTGAAAAAATATCCTCCAACTGGCTCTTTAATTGGATATCTAAATATAGACATACAATATTCCGGATTTCTCGCTAGCCAGGTGAAGAGCGAGGATGGCTCTCTAGAGTGCGTACGAGATATAGAAAAAATCATTGGAGAGTATAAATATATAGAAAACAATTTTTACTAGAATGATGATTTAAAGAACAAATTTTAGAAAGGCTCCTGCAGATGCTCTAAGCAGTATTTTAGACCTTTTACTCTCTTTTATGTCTATATTTAAAACAATTAGTATGTTGTACTATTCACATTGTAATTTGTGAACGTCTTTAACTTAATAGTCACATATGGTTTTACCGAATTTTATAGATTTTTTTTGTCGGTATACCCTAAGCTAAAATCCTGAATTTGTCATTAGTTTCAAAAAAAACCAAAACATCTTATAATTTGAAATGAAGAGAGTACTTTTATGCAGGTGGTACTCAGGGATCATACATTATTTTTGAGAAAAAAACAAATACTTCTTTTATATAAGCTATATTCGTGGAGTCATACTGTCTACGGTTTTGAACACCGTTTAGGCCTGTTTGCTTTGAAGCCTCCCAGCAGAGGTCATGCTAGGCGAGATCGTGACCCAGTGCAAGGCGAGATCGTGACACCAGGCGGTGAAAATCGGACGCCTAGGAGAAGCTCCTCGCCAGAGCAACCTTGCCGGACCGCAAATCAAACAGGCCCTTACAACATGAGAACACAAGGAAAAAATATGTTTGAGCTTTGCTAGCGCCTGCACGTCCATGCCCCACAATCCGTTTCCCACGCCGTTTTGCGCACCCACGCGGGGCCAGCACTGCCCTGAACGTCACTAGCATCGAGAAGAGGGGAGAGGGCGACAGATGCCCAGCCGACGTCGGGAGGAGGAGGAGACACCGAGGCGATGCAGCAGGAGGCGAGGAGGAGAGATGCAACACCCGATCTACTTTTGAAATATCCAAATGTAACACTTGCAACATACGTCTGAAGGCAGACGAAACACTTGAAACATGCTTCTGAAACACTTGAAAACTATTTCAAACATATGCAACATCTACATAAACACACATGCAACATGTGTGAAACATATGCAATATCAAGATAAACATACTTGCAACGTACCTCTGGAAAACACAGATGAAACATTAGAAATAGACATTTGCAACATACCTGTACAACCATTGCAACATCTAGATCTACTTTTGCAACATCCATTTGAAACACTTGTAACATACCGCTGAAACATCTTAAACACTTGAAACATACGCTTGCAACATGCACTTTCAGTAAAACCTGGCAGCCAGGTGGGCAGAGCACTGCACAGCGGGATCCCGCTGTGCGGTCGCGGCTGAGAAGGAGGATGGCAGCGGACGAGCGGCTATGCGGCCCCCGGTGAGCGGCTGCGCTGCCCCTGGTGATAGGGCGCACGCGGTGCCCCAAGCGAGTGGTGCCCGCGGTGGAGGCGACAACAACAGTTGGGTGGGTGCGGCATCGCACAGCGAGGCGGCAGCGGCTGTGCGGTCGTGGGGGAGCACGCCGTGGTGGTGCGGGCACGGCAGCATTGGAGAGGAAGGCCAGCGGGAGATACGGTCGTGCAGGAGGCGTGGCGGAACGCAGTCGCGGTTGTGTGAGTTGTTTTTATAATCTACGGTGACCGGAGGGTAGGGAGCGGATTGGAATGGATAGGCTCCTGGACGTCGGGTGCAGCAACAAGGGCGTCCGCACGCGGACGAACTCTAATTGCTAGCATTATCGAAAATGTTTGGCAAGTAAAGTGGTGGAGTTGTCGCCTTGGGTGTCTTCGATCAGAACGAGTGGCAAAACAATAATGGGGCTCTTGCATACACACCCCTATTTTATATCGATATTGTGATTTTACCCATGTTTTTTTTAACTTTGTAAATTTGCCTCTGGTTATTCAAAACGAAGCACCACTTTGCCTCTATTCCGTCATCCTCCCCTAAAGTTGTTAACTTTTGTACCAAAGGACAAATATGTCCTTGTGATTTTGCCCCTGGTTTTTAGGGCTATTTGTGATTTTACCCCTAACTTGGAATAAGACACGTATACTGTATTTTGAAAAATTATTTGCTTATTACGATGGAATATAATACACTTTTGTTTTCTCTTTTCTTTTTCTCCTTTTCTTTTTTAATTTATTTTCTTTCTCACTTATTTTTTTTTCTTTCTCCTCAATCCAACCCGGCTGGGCAGCTTCTCCACGGGCTCCTCTGAAAAATATCTCCACAGGAGCGGGAGCCTTATCCACTGCACGCAGCTTCTCGCTGCAATGGCCTGGGCAAGTCCGTCCCGCCTGCACGCCGGGCCAAGCGGCGCCGCCGCACTGCACGCATCGCCTCAACCAACGCGCGATGGAGTCCGTCCGCGTGCCTCCGTGCCCGCGCGTCCGGCTGCGGCAAGCCGAGCGCCGAGGAGACAAAGCACAGCAGAGCCCAAGAACAAGAAAGTGTATTTCATTCCCACATCCCAATCGATCGAATACAGATGAGAAGCGGGAAGCTACTCCGCAATCTCCTTCCGTGCCTGCCCAATTTTACCGATACCCCCGCCCAAATCCGCCAGAGATCACACCTTTCCACCAAATCCGGCCAGGATGCGGCGCAATCGGCGGCCACGGACCCAGCTCGCGCCCGCCCAGCCGCTCCCCCGACGCGGCTGCCGCACCCACCGCAGCGCCTGGCTTGCCGCGCCCGCCCAACAGCGCGCCAGCGCACCCGCCGGCCATGCCGCGACGCCTGCCCAGCGGCACCCGCCGCGCCGCGAGCTCGCACGGCCGTAGCGCCCGCCCAGCCACGCCTCCGTCGCGGCCGCTGCTACCACCGCCGCGCCGCGAGCCCGCCGGCCATGCCTGCCCTGCGCCCTGCCCAACAGGCATCGGTGGACACGGGGCGGATGGGATAACTGTGATAAGAGCATTTCAGTGTATTTTATTTTTTTTAATCGTTTATTCAGTTTCTAAATAACGGATATCTAAACCAGAGGTAAACTGTTCATTCGTTTCAAAATAACAGGAGTAAAATTATAAAGTTAAAAAAAATAAGGGTAAAATCATAATTGAACTTCTGAATAGGAGCAAAAACACCATTTTCTCAACAATAATAAACTTCCTTTTTGATTTCTCTAACTTTGAGCGTGAGCGTTTGAGCTGGAAATCTTGCAAGAATTAGCTGGGTATGGATGCAAAGGCCGAATATTTTCATTTTGTAAAAAAACTATTATGTATATAACTTATGGATACGCAAGCACAATCTTTATATTGAATATAAACGTTCATAAGGATATGGCCACGTCCCGTCTTGTTGCGACTTCCTGTTTGATCGAAGCTGCTAAATTTTAGCTAGCTAAATCAGCTGTTAAACTTTAGTCATCTATATTTGGTTTGGAGGACTAAAAAAGATCTTTTAGTATATTTTAGTCAGAATGTTTGACTCTAAAGTGACTAAAAGATGAGACAGTCTGAACTTTAGTCTCATTTAGCAACCCTTTGGTGACTAATTGATTAAGGGTCTGTTCGGCTGGTATTAAAACCGGTTGATAAATCGACTGAAATTAATTTATTGTGAGAAAAAAATATTATAAATTCTAGTTGATAAACCGGCTGACAAGTTCAAACGAACCTGTCCCTTTAGTACTATTTTGCCCTATCAGCGTCAGCCGTCAGTACAGTACAGGTCGACCACCCCCCACCACAGCAGCCACGCGTGGTGCAGCGCAGGTCGTCGTCAATGAAGGGAAGAGCTAGCGGGTAGCGCCCGATCGATCGCGTGCAGTTGCAGACTTGCAGCGGGAAGCCAAGCCACGATGAGCACCAGGCGCCGGCCAGCCATGGCGCATGGACGCAACGTCAAACTCGAATTTACGCCGGGCAGTCAGTCGCCCATGCCCTCCACTTCCATGGACCTGGACCCTGCTGGTGACCGGCCTCGCTGCGCGCTCCAGTGCCCGCAGTACTAGTAGCAGTAGCTTCTACTGCTGTGCCGCACTGCGTGCGAACGTAGGCCGAGGACGAGCTAGCTCTCCATCGATCGGAAGGCATTCCCTGTTGGCCCGCCTGTTGCTGCATGCCTTGGATACCTGCGGCTTGTTTAGTTTGCAAAATTTTTAGCTAAATAAATATTTTTATTGTTATTTAGTAATTAGTATCCAATTATAGTCTACTTAAATTTAAAAAATTCGTCTCGTGAATTTTATCTAAACTGTATAATTAATTTTATTTTTTATTTATATTTAATGCTTAATACATAGATCCAAAGATTTGAGATAAAGAAAAATCTTGAAAAATTTAACATTTTGGAAGTGAACTAAACGATACCCTACAGCTCCTTGCTCGCTCATCCCTTCAAGTCAAGGCCTCACATCCATCAGTCATCACACACACCGCGGCGCGCCCTGTTCAATGAGACTAGGGTCTTATTTAGATTGGCTCAAAGTTCCAAGTTTTTTTATTCTCTCTCACATTAATTTTTGAACGCATGTATGGAATATTAAATATAGGTAAAAAAAGTAACTAACTGTACAGTTTAGTTGTAAATCACGAGACAAATTTTTTGAGCCTAGTTAATACATGATCGGACAAAGTTTGTCAAATACAAACAAAACGTACTACACTGTCCAGATCGTAAAAATTTGCAATCTAAATCAGACCTAGCCACAGCGTTGCTTTTTACCGATGGCCAAACACTCTCTTTGAGCACCGATGCCCACGTTATAGCCGGTGTTGAGATGAAAAAAATATAGGCATCGATGCATGTTTGTTCACCGGTGCTTCAAACGTTAAAAAATAGTATTCCTCGTTCGCCTCTATCTCCGCGGCCGCTACGACGAGGTCCACAAACACAGTGAAGCACCGGTACCAATTAGAGAGCTGAAGCATTGGTGCTTTGTATCAGACTGAACTTTTTTTCGGCACCGCTCACACTGTGGACAGTGGACAGTCTTCCTTCTCTAGTTCGCTCGCCTTACGGCTATAAAACGTCGGTCCATCTTGGTTCACTGCTACCTACCACACGGCAGCTGGATGGAGCGACGGGCGAGTCATTGGGGGCGATTTGGGTCACCTCCTGCCTCTCACCTCTCACCGCTCTCGTCCTCTCCCGTCTTCTTCCCCATCGTGTCGAGCTCGCACGTCCGGCCATGGCGGCCCTCGCACAGCCGTGCGCCGCCCCCAGCCGTGGCTGCCCGCCCCCGGCCGCGTCGAGCAGGCAAGCCGCGCGTCCGTGGCCCGGCCAGGGCCGACGAGCCACCGAAGCCCCCGACCGCGTCGAGCTCGCACGTCCGGCCATGTTGGACCTCGCACGGCCCTGCCCCGCCCCAGCCGCCCAGCCCATGCCCGCGACTGCCCGCCCCCGCCCCTGGCCGGGTCGAGTAGGCAAGCCATGCGTCCGTGTCCCCACCCCCGAGCTCCTCGCGCGAAAGGCCGACGCGCGTGCGTGCTCCTCCGTCGACGAGCGCGCGTGCAGGGAGACACCGCCGCGTGATCCTCCTCGCGGGAGCCGCCGCCACGCGGTCCTCCTCCGCTGGGCTTCCCCATGGCCGGCCGCCGGGTCCGGGATCACGTCGCGGCTCCACCGACACGCGTTCGGCGCCGCGCGCCAGCTCCCCGACCGCGTTCATGAACTGCGCGGAGCCCGGGCCGTCGGCGACGGCATGGCTGAAGCGGAAGCCGACGACGAATCCGCCGCTGGCGAAGGCGGTGACCTGGACGAGCAGGACGTGCCGCCTAAACCCACGACGAATCCCATCGCCTCGTCTGACCGTGCCGCCGCCGCGGCGCTGAGCTCGCGCGTGCGTGGTGCAGCAGCCGCCGCACCGAGCCGGCCGCGCGCGGGCATGGTGCCGCCGCCGCCGCCGCCGCGCCCAGCCGGCCGCGCGAGAAGGCAGTGAGGAGGGAGGTCGAGGCGGTGACGGCGAGCGGCTTGGCCATGGCGGCAGCTTCCTCATCCGCTCGTCAAGGTGACGGCGAGCTGTTGTGCCATGGCAGCCCGCCAAGGTGTTCGAGGAGAGGAGCTGGGTCGGCGTCAACACCGGCAGCTTCCTCATCCGCTCGTGCCACTCCCGCCGCTCGGACTCGGACCATGGGGACGAGCTCGTAGTCGACGCCGGCCTCCTCCAGGCACAACACAACAGCACCCGCGTCGTCCAGGGCCAATGACATGCATGTGTTCGATGAAATGCCAATGACAATGTTTGAGGGGTAACCTTACCATGTTTCAAGCCTTGGGTCACCATACAGGCAACCAAACACGTTCTCAACTAAGCTCGCCTCTGCAGGTACAGGCAACCAAACACGGATACTTGTACCATGTCGACCGAGCTCTCGCTGGCCATAGCAAGGCTAGCCGGCCAGGCCTGCCAGATAGAGGACAGCAAACACGCCCTAGGCTTTCCCACTCTCTGACCATAGCTCTCTCTCTCGCTCGCTTGTGATCCCCAGTCTCTCCGATCCTTCTCTCATTCTGTCGTCTGCCCCTGTCACCCACCCCCGTGCGGACCCAAGCAAGCAAATGGAGGTAAGTGAACAAGTCAAACAAGCTGTATGTGTGAAAGCAATCTGTCAGGACTACTTGGCGGGCTCGCCTGAAGACTAAAGCTCTGATGGCCGGTGCGTCGTCTGATGGAAATCCGACAATAGACGTGAAGCGCGGCAAGCAGTCAGTGGTGGGGTGAGTTGCCGTGGCGGCGAAGGCAGCTGGCGCTGGCTGTGTTGGCGGTTGATTCTTGCGTCATTGTGTGGGCCCATGGTGGCAGGTGTGCGCCGTATATAAGGCGTTGTAACTAAGGCCCGTTTAGATTAAAAAAATTTGCGCAGTAGCCGTCACATCGAATCTTGTGGCACATTCATGGAGTACTAAATATAGACGAAAAAAAAACTAATTACATAGTTGGGTGAGAAATTACGAGACGAAACTTTTGAACCTAATTAGTCCATAATTAGACACTAATTGTCAAATACAAACGAAAGTGCTATAGTAGTCAAAATCCAAAAAAAATTTAGATCTAAACGGGGCCTAACTGAATCGGCATCGATTGAATAGAAACTGAATCCCGAATCCTCTGTTCTGTTCCCCAATCCAATTGCTGTTCGTGCTTCTATCCCAAACTCCAATTCCTTCCCAAATTCCCTTCAGTTATCCGACAATTCCTTGGTGGATCGTCACACAATCGTTGTTCGACCATGAAAAGTTGATTGATTGTATTGCTGCTCTAGTTACCTCTATGTAATGATTTGATTAACGAGCGAGGCTGCTATTACGCATGATGCATCATTCCTTCGCAATCTTCCTTACTATGTATATGAACGGGATCGCCGGCGTGCGTGCGTGTGCAGCAGAAGGCGAGGAGGCGGCGCGTGCCGGCATTCGTAGAGTTGAACTACAACTACTACGGCAGCGCCGAGCTGGTAGCCACGCCCACGGCGGCGGCGGTCCCCTTCGAGAGGTACGCGGCGAAGGTGCCGGAGCTGGAGGCCCGCAGCGACGTGTGGTTCAAGTACTCGCCGCCCCCGCGGAAGCCACCGCCGGTCAGCAGGAAGGTCCGGAGGCCGGCGGAGAAATCCTACGGCGGCAGCAAGCGCCCCCGTGCTGCTACGCCTGCGAGGGCGTCCGACGGCGTGGTCCCGTCGTCTGTGCCGCGCACGCCGGCTAAGAGCACCGGCGCGGCCAGGGCGGCGCGCGTGGTGCAGCGCGTCAACGCCGACCTGTACCAGGTGCCCCCGCCGGAGTTCGTCCACGATGACGACCTGAGGCCAAGGGTATGTAGGTCGCAAATATTGTGACACTCGTTTTAATATGTAATGTAACTATGATTTGTCGATTGATGCCATCACATCTCGCATGCATGCAGCGGAAGCAGCGGCAGCGTAAGAAGGCGTCCAGGAGCCTCTGGATGGGTTGCTTCGGGTTCAGCTGCAGGCCGGCTGAATAATTATTTTCTGTATTTGTTTTTTATTCTACGTATGTATCTACTAGTTGAATTCTACTCCTTTCAGATTGTGCAATATTTTTTGTTTTTTTTTTTTATTTCTAGACTAGTATTGTACAGTGTGGAACTGTGGATCGAAAGAAAATCTATGCATGGTGCCGTATTCCCAATCATCTTGATACGCATCCCAAAACAATAAGTCGGCTGATTCCGGTTGTTTCAATAATATTTTGTGGATAAGCCGGCTGAAAAGAGCAGACGAACAGGGTTGCGTGCCTCCGTGCTTCAGGTTCAGAGCCGGATGCGGCTACATGAAAATTAGATCGATCCCGCCTTCCTCGTCTGCGTCCTCCGCATCATACTTGAGTCATCGGCAGTGCAGTGTCCATGCCGTCGCTGGCCTCCCCTGGCAAGCAGCAGCGACAGATCGATGGATCATGGACGTGATCAGGTTGGGCATCAGATTCAGATATGTATCGATATCACCGTCGCCGTAACAGGCGGCGGAGTCGATAGGTCAGGCTTGCCGTTGGAGGCTGTCCGTTGGAATCCACAGTCTAGTTGAGCAGCAACGACGGGCGATGGAGATTACGTTGGATGGCTTCAGGGAATTCCTGGCTTCAGTGCTTATTGCGGACTCTAATTGGCTCAATGAGAGGGCTCTAACTGACTCGGAAGCATGTAAGAGCAGATTGCAGATGTGCCTGCGGCTGGTGGGGAAGCATGTAAGAGCAGATTGCAGATAGACTCAACATTAGGGCACTTACAAGTTACTCATTCGGTTCACAAAAGAACGTAGCTATAAAATTTATGCAAGTTAAATTAATTTAAATTTGACCAGATTTACAATGAATAGTATTAATATTCATGTCTTTAATTAGGTTTACTATGAAAAAATATTTTTTATAATTAATTTAATAGAACTTATTTTGTATCATATATGTTAGTACTTTTTATATAACTTTGACTAAATTTCATGTCGCTTCATACCTTGAAAGTGAGAATTACGTCCTTCTGTTGACAATGGAGTGCAACTCACCAAATCATTCTAGAATATTTATTGATGTTAAATCCGATCACACACTAGCAAGGGCTTGATTGCCCGAGCATCACACTGCCAAGATACGCAATGGAACTAGGCCCACTAGCAGGTCAGAAAGATACCCTAGGGTCAACGATGGGGGTATCATGCAAATTGAGTTGTCTTTACTGCTCTACACAAAAAGCTCCCGTTGCTGAAAATCGATTCTGCAGTAGGATAGTGGCAAATCTTTCAGAGAGAAGTGTTGGACAGTAAGGGGATTTAAAAAGCTTGAGGTACAGGATAAAAAGTATGATAGATTGGTTTTTTGACTATTCGAAAAGCTTGAGGAATATACAAAGCGACAGCAGCAAGCAGTGCGCGAGCTAGTCAACCAAGTTCGTCTGGAGCAACACCGCACCCCCACTCCCGAGGGTTTAGTTCTGATGTGGTTGCTAGTTCGGGGGAGGATCTAGTGCCGTGTTAACCTCTACCGGAAGAAGGTTGTGTCTAGTACTACATGTCTCTTTTTTATTGCTGCCATGCGAAAACATTTGGAACATTGTCCCTATAGCTACCGGGTTAATCCCTTCTATTCTAGATCCGCTGCTACCCACATGCTTGGAAGTTGACTAACGGGCATCGAGAGGGTGCAAAGAAATTTGATTTTGTGGGGTTTAATGCTACTATTTAGGTAATTTGGTGCACTCGTAATGACATTATTTTGAGAAAATACCGAATACTCCATTTGTTCCAAATTATAAGATATTTTGGTATTTCTAGATATATTCATTCTACTACGTTTCTAAACATAGTGTATATTTAAGTGCATAACAAAAAAACTATGTTTTCATGCGAACTGATCATAGATCGGTGGAACCTGTCCACTGTGGTTAAAGTCTTCGACTTGGCGCGAGTAATCGTATTTATCTCATACAATTTCTATAAAACTCATGCGTTTCAAGGAGGCCCTGCCTTTTTTTTAAGCCTGGAGAAGTGAAAATGGACGTAACAGGCCAGGGCCAGCAGCCCAGCTTTGCCGAGACGGGCTTTGCTGATTTTCCAGGCCGCGCGGTCAAACCGACGGGAGATCGAGGGCTCCAGGTCCTGCCACCCTTACGCCTTGGCAGGTCTTGGCGGCTGACGCGGTAACACCTTGGCTCCCTCGTCCATTCATCTACTGCAATTTCGGAGCTATGGACTGCCGGAGTCTCGCCGGCCTGCCCTCTCGGTTCTTCAATCCTCTAGGCGCCCAAGCTGCAAGCACGCGACTAATTGTGATCGATAGATCGAGGATTCGCCGTTGCTTGCTACCTGCTGCTGGCTGCGCGTGCACGACTAACGCACAATGCCTAATGATCTGAACCAACAAGGTGAGATTCAAGCTTTGCTCTTTTCTCTTCTTTTTTCATGTAGAAAAATTATGTCTACTTTCATTGCTAACATCATCGGCTCATCCCTCATGCAGCAAGATTGGAGCGCATCAGAGATGATCAAGATCGATCAATAATTTAATACAATCTAGTCACATTCATTAAACGGGATATTTTCTTTGAAGTAGACGAAAGATAATATAATTGAGATATTGATGTCACTTAGAAAGCGTCAGCTAAAATAGTCACATAAGTAATATTGTAAGTCTCTTACTCTCTTTTATGCTTATATTTAAAACTATTAGCATGGTGTTTGAACTATGCATATTGTAATTTGTGATTGTTTTCAACTTAATAGTCACATATGGTTTTATCGAATTGTACAAGATTTTTTTGGTCGGCATATCCTTAGAAAAGTCAAAACACCTTAAAATTTAAAACAGAGGGGAGTACTTCTTTTATTCAGGTTATATTCAAGGGGCGTGTCATACATCATTTTTGAAAAAAAAAAGATACTTCTTTTACGCAGGCTATATTCAGGGGTTCGTACGGTCTACGGTTTTAGACGCTGCTACAGCACGAGAACACAGGGGAATAAAATATGTTTGGCAAGTAAAGTGGTGGAGTTGTCGCCTTGGACGTCTTCTCTCAGAAACAAGCGTTTGAGATAGAAATCTTTTAAGAATTAGCTGGATACGGATGCAAAGGCTGAATAATTCCATTTTATATATATAAAAAGTAGCTGGATACGGATGCAAAGGCTGAATATTTCTATTTTATAAAAAAGGCTATAATATGTATAAATTATGGATACGCAGCCCAATCTTTATATTGAATAAACATTCATTCATAAGGATATATGCATAATGTATCACGTTTGGTTACTAGCAAGAGTTGAGAACTAATCATGTCAGGCGCACACAGGGAAGATGTAGCGGCGGAGACTCCCACAGAACAGAAACCATTGCGGGAAGTAGAAAGCCACCACGAACCCCACGACGAATCCCACCGCGCCGCCGACGCTGGATGCGTCGTTGACCCTACGCAGCCTGAGATGTATCCGCACATGGAACCGCCTCTTGCACTTGCCCAGCGGCGCCCCGCAGAGCCCGTCGTTGCCGGCGAAGTTTTCGGGTGAGAACTTCTGGAGAGAGCCCGGGATGGGACCTGACAACGAGTTATCCGCAACATTCAGCAGTGCAAGATGATCGCCCATAGTCTCCGGGAGCCGTCCGGTGAACCTGTTGTGCTCAAGGCTCAGCTGCACCAGGTATGACAGGTTTCCGACGCCGCTTGGGATTTCGCCTGAGATGCTTCCGTGCGTTAGAGAACAATACAATCCCATGTGCTTATCATTTGCATTTTTATATAGGAACAAAAAGTTTGGAAACAGAGGTTAGTTAATTTGTACCACCTGAGAAGCTGTTGTGCGAGAGGTTGAGAGATGTGATGACCGGCAACTGCCTGGCGATGTCTCCGGGGAGGGGTCCTGAGAGGCTGTTGTTTGACAGGTCCAGTAACGTCATGCTACTGCAGTTTTGAACGCCTTGAGGGAACGAACCTTCAAGCCCCATGTTGCCGAGGTTCAAGAACAGGACTCTGCTTTCAGACGGATGCCAGCATTCAACGCCGGCGAATTGGCATATGTATCCTTCGGTGTCGTTGGAGAACTCCCATGAGTAGAGCGCGCCGTTAGGATCGCCCAGTGATTGTTTCAGGCTCTGCAAGCACAGGACGTCACTGGCGGTACCAGAACACGAGGATAAGCCGCTTAGGAGCAGTATCCAGATGATCATGAGGTTCATCATCATGTAACCGCGCGTAGGCAAAGGCCACAGCTTAGAACGAGCCTGCAATGGTGTATTCAGAGTGTTGGAGTTACAAGCTTGCAGCTAGTGATCTCACAGCCGGCTAGTGGTATCGTTCCCGTCCATTATATAGTGTGTTTAGCACAATAGCACTTTAGTTTTATCAACTCTTTTTTGAGTAAATCTTAGAAAACGCGCGTGTTGTATTGTATGTATCTCGTGTAGGGTGGGACCAAGAAGTAGGATTTTAAACATGAATATAAAACCGTTATACAAACAAATAACAAAAGCAACTGATTCTGAAATTTGTTCTATTCAGTGATATTTGTGACCTTCTCCTTTTATATTTATATTATACCTTTTTTTTTTTTTTGCAGGAACTATTATACTGCTGCTAAACGATATTGTTTTCGTGGATAAGTAAACCATGCCACCTATTTTCTCTGTCTAGTCTATTGCCGGTCTGCTTCTACCAAACTTCGTAGCGTTTGCAAGGTGAGAATGGGTCAGAGAAATCAGTATCATCATTTATTGCATTGGAGAAAGAAGTTGACAAGCAAGGAAATTGATGGAAAGCTAAATTAATAATTTCTCCTACTTGTAGCGCAAGACTCAGGCCTTTTGTTCGGTTCATCGGATGTTTGACGTATAAGTATTAAATATAGACTAATTATAAAATTAAATACATAGATTAAGATTAATTTACGAGACGAATTTTTTAAGACTAATTAATCTATGATTTGACAATGTGGTGTTACAGTAAACATATGCTAATGACGAGTTAATTAGGCTTAATAAATTCGTCTCACGGATTACTGACGGATTCTGTAATTTATTTTTTATACCGAACACCCCATGCGACACCACATGTGACATCCGATGAGACAACTCTTAAACTTTAGTCCCTATATCCAAACACCCTCCTAAAGTTTAGTCCATATCCCATCAGATGTTTGGACACATGCACGGAGTATAAAATATAGACTAAAAAATAACTAATTACACAGATTGCGTCTAATTTGCGAGACGAATCTTTTAAGCCTAATTAGTTCATGGTTTGACAATGTGGTGCTACAGAAAAGCTACAGTACATGTGGTAATGATAGATTAATTAGGCTTAATAAATTCGTCTCGCGAAGTACTAAAGACTTCTATAATTTATTTTATTCTTACTATATGAACACTCCTATATAACATTCCGATGTAACAGCCGATGTAACACCCAAAACTTTACGTCCTGAATTTAAACCGCCTCAAAATATATACTACTCCCTCCTTTCCCATTAACTGGCGTACACCAGTTTTTCATTTTGGCCATAATAGGAGGCGGACTGCAGATGGGGAGTCAATTAATTACTCGAAGTAGTAAAAAAACAAAGCGGTGCATGATGTCAAATGCATAGAAGCCCAGGCAGGTGTGGCTGTTCTACAGGCGGCATCCAATCAAGGCATCCCTAGACTGATTTTGAAGGGACTCAGTGATTACAGTGAAGACCCTGCAATTGGACGAGATGGATTTATGTCCTGCTTCTGTCTTGTACAGAGAAGCAAGGGATTTGATTAGATTATGTTTTGTTTCGGTACAAGTTTTACATGTTCCTAAATCTTCTAGTAAATGTGCTCACGAGTTAGCTCGTTTAAGCTTTGGTTGGGACCCGGATCAAAAACATTTTTGGTTTGATCCCCTCCCTAGTTTTGTAAATGATTTGGTGGTTCGCGACTCTGCTGGACCCAATGTTAATGATTAAAGTCTAAGGAGTGATGTTCAAAAAAAAAAAAAACAAAGAGGTGCATGCATGGCTATTAACAGTTTCATGGTGTGAAGTAGTAAAAAGAAACACCCTTTTTTCTCTCGCATGCCGTACAGTAATTACTTCCATGCATGACATGTATTCATGCTAAGTTAATACATGTCTTGGTATCAGAAATGAAGCCCCTCACGCCAGTTAAATGGTACCTCCGTTCCCAAATAAATCAAATATTAGAGTTATCTTAAGTCAAATTCTTTAAAATTGACCAAACATATAGAAAGAAACACGTCAATATTTATGACACCAAATAAGCACACTATAAAATACATTACATGTCATATCTAATGATATCAATTTAATGTCTTAAATATTAATGTCCTTTTATATAATTTTGTTAAAAATTAAAAATTAATTTAGTATATATCAAGTGGTGATCATGGGCTCTAGTCTAAAATCTTGCAGTGGTGACACGGTGTTAAGTTCAACTCTTCCAAAATGAGCCCCAGCTTAAACTTTTAATGGCAAAGGCTTCTAGCCGATTCCCCATGGAAGCGAATTTCAGTCTTGGGTTGATTATACCGGGGAGCTCTGCTCCACGGTCTTTCTTTGAAAAAGAGGCAAAACTGTTTTGCTTAAATGTTAACTCTCTTAAATAGTGCATGAGTAGTGCTAATCATGTCTCTTTCATGTGCATCACATAAGCATAAGCATAGCTTTAAGTTGATGCATTCGTTTGATCATGTGATTCTTTAATTCCATGCAACCCTTTTGTGGTGATGTTTGGTGATGTAACCAAATGTTGCTTGATCACCTAAACAACCTAAAACAACTTAGGATAAAAAAATGAAGTAGGGTTCATGTTGATGAACTAGCCTAAAAATGCTAAGTGTTGAATCAACGATTAGCACCTTTTTTATGCTCCTGCTTTGACCAACATATACCACCTCGGTCCCCGAATAAATCAACTATTAGAGTTGTCTTAAGTCAAAAAAATTTAAAATTAGACTGAACTTATAGAAAGAAACAAACCTATAGTTATGACGATGTCAAATAAACACACTATAAAATATATTCCATGGTGATGATACTAATTTGATGTCTTAAATATCAGTGTCTTTTATATAAATCTGGTCAAAATTAAAAATTAACTTAGTACGACTCTAGAAGCTGATTTATTTGGGACGGATATTTAAGTGATACGGTTTTATATTGTTAATTCATGGATTTCTTTTCTTGAAATACATATCAAGAGTTAAAAAAACTATAAGGACATGATCTGAATCTATTTATAACATTTTTTATGTGAGAAAAATAAATAGTTTGATGCAGAATAGTGCTTGAACTTGAAATTATAAAGTATTAACTTCACGGGTATATATTATTAAGAATATAACATTTAGTATATATTATTCGCAAGAAAATATAGAAGGAAGCAGTAAAATACATTGTCATCAGAATTAACGTTTTCTGGAGATACGATTTCCTCTCCAGTCGCAAATGTTGGAATTATTTTCTTTTTCTAAAAAATGACGATTCCCTCTCCAAGACGGCATACGGTGGAACGGGTAGAACCCGCGTGAAGTCAAGATCAAGAGTCAGTCTCCGCTCTCCGGCATGGCGGCTGCATTGGTCAGAGTTCATGTCAAGATAGTAACAGGCGCGTCTAGTAGCTTGTGCTGAAAAATTCAAAATAACGGCTATACTCTTCCATCCAATTTTTTTTTGTTTAATTAACTAATTTTATCTAAAATTCTAAACTCTTTTATGTCTCTATAAATAAAATGCACTATAAATGACTAATCTAATAATATTTATTTAGCATTTAATATTTTTTATATTTTAAAATTTATTTTTTAGATAGAGAAAGATCCGGGTAAGAGAAGGGTGTGGTAGACGTCTTACTGCCCCCGCAAGCAACTTGTCGGGGACCAATAGCAGGGTACCCGAAGTTGAAACCCAGCAGAAGCAATCAAGGTTCAGGCACGTGAATAGTTATTTTTCCAGTACTCCTATCTAAGGCTAAGTCTTTGGATATATTCCATCCTTTCAAGTCTCCTTTTATTGCCTCTATCCAAGTAAACTTCGGTATTCCTGTGCCTCTCTTCACGTTACTATCCTGGCTTAAGATTTCACAACGCATCGGTGCCTCTGGAGGTCTCCGTTGGACATATCCAAACCATTCCTACCGGTGTTGGACAAACTTTTCTTCAATTGGTGCTACCCCTAATCTATTACGTATATCATCGTTCCAAACTCGATCCCTTCTTGTATGACCGCAAATCCAACGCAATATACGTATTTCCGTGACACTTATCTGTTGAACATGTCGTCTTTTCGTAGGTCAACATTCTGCATCATACAACATAGCAGGTCTAATCGCCGTCCAATAAAATTTGCCTTTTAAATTCTGTGGTACCCTTTTGTCACATAGGACACCAGATGCTTGGCGTCACTTTATCTACCATTCTTTGATTCTATGGCTAACATCTTCATCAATATCCTCGTCTCTCTATAGCATTGATCCTAAATATCGAAAGGGGTACTACTTGACCTTCCAAACTAATATCTTCCTCTTTCCGAGTAGTAGTGCCAAAGTCACATCTCATATACTCAGTTTTAGTTCTACTGAGTCTAAAACCTTTGAACTCCAAAGTCTACCGCCATAACTCAAGTTTCTTATTCACTCATGTCCGGCTTTCATCAACTAGCACTACATCGTCCGCGAAAAGCATACACCAAGGGATGTCCCCTTGTATGTCCCTTGTGACCTCATCCATCACTAAGGTAAACAGATAAGGGCTCAAAGCTAACCCTTGATGTAGTCCTATCCTGATCGGGAAGTCATTCGTGTCTCCATCACTTGTTCGAACACTAGTCACAACATTGTTATACATATCCTTAATGAGCCCGACGTACTTCGTTTGGACTTTATGTTTGTCCAAAGCTCACCACATAACATTCCTTGGTATTTTATCATAAGCCTTCTCCAAGTCAATAAAAACCATATGTAGGTCCTTTTTCTTCTCTCTATACCGCTCCATAACTTGTCTTATTAAAAAAATGGCTTCCATGGTTGACCTTCCGGGCATGAAACCAAATTGATTCATAGAGACCCATGTTATTGCTCTCAAGCGATGCTCGATAACTCTCTCACATAGCTTCATAGTATGGCTTATCAACTTAATTCCCTGGTAATTATTACAACTTTGAATATTCCCTTTATTCTTGTATATCGGTACCAATATA